TTAATTCATCGTTTATCGGCGCTTTCATACGCAGTAGCAAATGCTACGAAACGAATCACCGTAATAACGGCATCATTGTTAATGCTGCGCAATCCGGTAACAGCGACCAATGTATTCGGCATGTTCCTCTCCATCTTTGGCGTTTACCTTTATAATCGAGTGAGTTATTCCCCGTTATTTACTTTTTAATATTGGTTGGTAATGGCTTAAGAGAGGCATTATCAAGGCAGTGTACGCCAGGAGGAAGAATCGAACGGAGCATGTGGCAAAAACCCAACCTGGAATGAGCCAGGCTTGTGCGATCATACGTTTTTGCTCTATTTTTTGTTCTAGCAATATCGCAAGGAATCACAGTAGCTAAAACTTGTGACATAGTGGTCCTCGAAGTTCAGGAATCTAATTTTGCAGCTATAGGGCATGTCACTTGTAGATGTCGGCTTCAGCGATCTGACAAATGGAAAGTTACTGGTGCGCGAAAAAGAGCCCATTAGAAAAGTTGAATTCAAAATCTTTTAGTCATACATGGGTAGGGGACATTTCAGCTTTCTAGTTTCTCTCATACTCAAATTAGCAATTTTCCCATCAAAATTTTCATATGTCCGTACGTGAGGCATAGAAGTGTGTGACAGTTGATATCACATTCCTGGAGCCGTACTTGGCCAGGGAACCCTAGCAAAATTTCAGCATCAAAGCCTGCTTGGTTGGCGAGTAGGAATACCCGGACAGACGAACACACACATACACACAGGGCCGTTGCAATATACGTTTTTGCTCCCTGCAAGGCAAAAACTCATATAGAAGGGCAGATGGACAAAGTGGATTAGTGAATGATGCATACGCTCTGTCAGAAAGCCTGCTGTGCAAAATGCGGTGGAAGGGTTCGCTTGAACAGTTGTTTGGAATTATGTGGATGAAAGAAGCCAAAAATAATATTTTGCTGGTGATGCAGTTGGATATCATTATCCGACTGCTAAATTCTGATAATCGGGTGAGCTAAGGAATCACTGAGGCAGTGGAATACATTGCGATACATCTAGCATTTCTTCTTATGTACAATTCAGGGTAAAGGCTGGGGAACGAGCACTAAGTCAGACTTTGCTTTAGTAGCAGCAGTTATTGCCATTTGTGTTGGTAAGGTGAAAATATATCAAATTAAGCGGCAGCTGATCGTTTTATCGAAATAAAAATTCTTCGATTATTGAACTTTCAGGCGAAGCAACCTGATAAGGAGTACCGCGGTTTACCGAGGACACGAACAGATTTAGCACTGTCATCTGATGCATCACTGATCTTACTAAATGGCACTTTGAATCACGAAAAAGCATCATATTCTCCTGTTGAATGGTACAAGGGAAGCAGTAAATGATAATACTATCATTCTGTTTTTAACTTACTTAATCGATCCTATGAGTTGAGGTCCGGTGAATTATTCTGTGCCTTTTTTTTTGCCTGTCGTTGCCTTACTTGCTGGGCAATAATTATTTTTTGTAATTAAACCAACGATTCTATGTCGATTTTTTGGCTTTTTTATTAAATAGCATTGCTACTTATTGTATTTTCTTTCCCCGATCCGGTTCATGTAATTAACTTTTAGATATTGTCATTTTATCAAGTCGTTATCTAAATTTAGAATTTGTTTTGGTTTTTTTTATTTTTCTCTTCTTTGTCTTCTGTTCACTTTATTATTTTTCGTTTACAGTATACTATGGGGAACAGTACTGCTTTTTTACGATTGCTGAAAATATCTGATTTCTGTAATTTTCCGATGTTCGAAAACTTACAAAATCCTCACTAAATGGCTGCAAGAGTCTTAACGAAATATGTGAAAAGAATTTCATTTTTATTGTCTTAAAAAATTTGTCTACCGATGAGATTTCGACTAGAAATTAGCAGATTTTTTTTAGACTTTTTAGATTTTTGCTAATCAAGCAGCGGTAGAAATCTTATTCAGTTCCTGATTTAAGATGACTGTGAAATACTAGAAAACTTTCGGAATATATTTGTGCGTGTACAATAGTTTTGGTATCGTCTGTTGGAAGTTGCTGTAATTATTGTCGCGTCATTGTTCTTCGCGCATTATGATTGTGATATTTGCGATCTAAACTCATGATTGTATTCTAATACTTGGGATTATACTCAACTTACATTCCTGTACTTAAGACTAATACTCAGGATTATTTTCTTGGTACCACGGCGGGTATAGGTTTTGAATTTTCCAAGGATTATAATTAGGAATAGAAGAAATGCATATGCGGTATCTTAGTAGTCGCAAAATTGAAAAAAAAAGAAAGTTAAAGAAAGTTAATAAGAAAAGGATTGTTATCTGTAAATTTTATTAGGATGCAGTCACTTGTCGTAATGTCAAAAGTTAAAGTTTAACTTATTATTTATACTTACAAGTTATTTCATTTTGTAATTACCTAAACTTCAATGAATATGCTCAGAGTTTTGGACCTTTCCACTGTTTTACTGAAACTTTTTTTTTTCACTAGCATACCCAAACAGCGGAAACGGCCACATTTCTTTTTGTCCACTGTGCGCATTAGTTTAATTGGGGTGCGAAGCAACGAATTTAGTCGGAAATTACAAACGAACGTCAAAAATCGATCGAATTAGGGCTAAAAATTGGAAAACAAGTTCAGAAATACTAAATTTGAATCCAAAAATTCGAAAAAAAAAACGGATAACTTCGCTTCGCCCTCCTGAAAATTGGGTATTCCCGTGCTTTTTTACTATACTTGAAAAAGTGCTCTATGCATACCTGGTTCTCTTTGTTTGTATTTTGTAGGATTTTAACTTTTTGTTTTTTCAAGTGCAATTTCGTGCTGTGATAAGGAATTCATATTACAATTTTTTCGATTGAACGCGGGGCCCATGCTTGCTTAAGGGTACCGCGGTCCTGAGGTGGCAGTTAGCCGGGGAATCCATCGGCAAAATTTTGGCGCCGAAGCTTGCTTGGGTGCCGAGTTGAAATATCCGGACAGGCACATCATACACACACTCACACACCGGGGTCGTTACAATATGCGTTTTTGCATTTGCGTATAAGCAAAAACGGATACAAATCAAAATTTTGATACCACACCAGAGTGCGTAAATTACCATCTTATCAGCCGTCATCCAGTGCAGTACAAAAGGGATCAGTTGCAATGCTTTTTCATCAGTGCTTATTTTTTGTGGCACCGAGTGATTGTTTGGAAAAGTGAAATGGTGGAAACAACTGATGCACTGGGGAGTGAAACCGGTGAACATGGTTCCGGTAGGGAGTACCCTTGATGACGCCCGGTATTCACTGTTTGGGAGGTGGAGACGCTTGAAGATAGCCTGGGTGGGTGTCATGTCCCAACAGCAAGAAAGGGGAGGTTTTTTGTTAACTCAGCCATCTTCTGGTTTTTGGTTAGAAGGAGGTTGCTGACGATCTTGACTTCCTGGCCAGTACCGATTTACCATCGAAATGGATGAAAAAATCGTAGGCGAACTAATTGTCTCGCCGCCCGGCGCAATCCTTGGCTTGCTCAACAAAAATATTGCTACTTCCTGCTGTGCTGTAATTGCCTGTATATTTTGCACATTAATGCACTTAAAAATATGAAGAAGAAAAAGATGTTTAAATTTTTTTAATCTATAAAGTAAAAAGACAACACTGGAACTTGCGTTATGATGTTTTGTGTTTTGTTCAGCAATTTGGCACTACAAACGAGGAGTTTGTGAAATTAGATTAATAATTAGGTTAATGAAAATGTTTTAAGGTAGCGAAGGTCCGAACGAAAAATCAAGAATTTTGGAACTGTTTATGAAATCGAACATCGCAAAATTGAATTCTGAAAAAAAGAAGGTCCGCTTTTTATTCAGTAAAAAGCCAGCAGTACGTCCCAGGCTATCAATGTGACATTGTCGACCAAAAAGTAACTGTGTAAACCAAACTTAACTTTGCCGGAAACGTCTATTCTAAACTACTTGCCCCTAAGTTACATTCATCAGTAGAGAGTACCAATGGTATCATTAAAGTAACTCCGAGGACTCGACTTCACTAGTAGGACAACCAATCCCCCTCCGA